GGCCGCTATACGGTTTTAAAAAAAAAAAAAAAAACCCCCGAGTATAGCCGACCGGCTATACTATTTATATTAAAAAAGAGGACCTTGCAAGTAAGTATAGCCGTGCGGCGAACTGGGGGACATTTTTTGTTTTTTTATAATAAATAGTATAGCCGGTCGGCTATACTGCATTTTAATTTTTTTTTTTTTATAAAACTTTTATAGCCTCACTGCTTTATTGGGTTTTTCTTGTTTTATTATTATTTTTAATAAATAGTATAGCCGGCGGCTATACTCTTTATATATATAGTGCAATCCTTTTTTTCTTTTAAGTTTTTTTACTCGATTTTTGTTTATCGATAAGAGTAGTTTAGAGCATTATCTATTACTATTAATCCATTACCTGAGTCTTTATTCTCCCTTTTTTATTTTTTACTTTTTCAGAGTTATTACCCGTATAAACAATTTAGCACTTTCATGTTTAATAATGTATTATACACATACGTACATATTTTTCAATAATACATCTGTGTTCTGCACCCGTCTTAAAGACGCGGTAAAGTTCACATTTTTTTAAAAAGCAACTGCACAATACTAGTATTATATAGGTACATACATATTTTTCATGTTTATTACACTTATTTTTTACAAAAATTTCAATAAGACACACAAAATTCATATTATACACATAATTATAACATATTACTGAATAAAAATAATACGTATTTAAAAAAATTTCAGTTTTTCCCTAATTGTTTTTTAATAGTATAGCCGTGCGGCTATACGCGTTTTTTAAAAGTTTTTAAATATAAATAGTGCAGCCACCCGGCTGTACAAATTTGACACGTGGCGCATAGGCTATGGGCGGGTGTATAAAGAGTATAGCCGGCCGGCTATCCTAGATTCTTCCTGAATTTTCTTTAAGAAATAGTATAGCCGCCCGGCTATACTCCTTTTTCCCAATTTTGTTCAAACAGTATAGCCACCCGGCTTTACTGTTTTGACACGTGGCAACTATGCTTTGTGCGCGTCCTTTTCTTAATATATAAATAGTATAGCCCCGCGGTTTAATCTAGGACAGGTTTTTTTTTTTCCATTTTTAAATATAAAAGAATTAGTTTATTCTGTTTTGTTTTTTGGCCTTCTTCTTTAATAAAACATATGTAATTGAGCAATATCTTAGCCTTTTTGAATTACTTTAATTAGTGCTTATATTTTAATTATTATTTAATATAAAAAATTAAAGAAAAAGTACACCAAATAATTAATTTATATTTACTAAGTCTTTTGTGAAATCGTTTGGGTGTCTTAATTAAATTTTTCCAAAGCCCAAGACCTTATAGTACATTTTATTATAAGAAGAAGCATAAATAACATTAGTATAAATAAACTAATTACTTACAAGTTGTCATATGTTCTATTTTCTTGTAAAATTCAACTTCATCATCCGTGTGACTATACTTTGCGGTTTGCGGTAACCGCAAGTTTTGAAAATCAAATACCGCAACCGCAACCGCAAATGCGGTTCGGTTCTTAATACCGCAAATGCGATTCGGTTTACCGCGATTGCGGTTTCATTGCGGTAAATTATCGGTTGGTTTTTGCGGTTTTTCGGTTTTTCGGTTTAAAATGCCACCCCTATGTACAACGGTGCAGCTGTACTTGGATTCTTTATATTAAAAATAATACAGCGCCCAGCTATACTAGGTTTAGTATAGCCGTTCGGCTATACTCGGTTTTCCATAATTTTTAGTATAGCAATTTAAAAAAGTATAGCCGGCCGGCTATACTCAATTTTTTTTAATTTAAAAAATAGTATAGCCGCCCGGCGCTACTGGGTTTTTCTTGTTTTAATTTTGTTAATAAGGAGTATAGCCGAGCGGCTGTACGCTTTATATATATATAGTGGAATCTTTTTTTCTTTTAAATTTTTTCCCTTATTTTTGTTTATCAATGAGAGTAGTTTAGAACATTATCCATTACTATTAGGCCATTGTCCGAGTCTTTGTTGTCCCCTTTTGATTTTTTATTTTTCCAGAGTTATCACCCGTTTAAACAATTTTGCACTCTATAATGTATTATACATGTAAGTACGTATTTTTTAATAATACATCCGTGTTCTACACATGTCTTAAAGAGCCGGTAAAGTTCACATTGAAAAAAAATATATATACAATACGCGTATTATACATGTACATTTTCTCGTTTAATACACGTATTTTTTAACAAAAATTCAATAAAACACACAAAATTCACCTATTATACACAAAATTCTCACATATTATTAAATAAAAATAATATATATATATATATATATTGGCATACACGAATATTTAACAGTTTAAAACAAGGGCAATGATTTCTCCACTCCTATTTTATCCACTTACACTCATTTTTTAGTAGGGAAATCACCACTCTAAAACAAAACAATTTAGGGTTAATTTCACAAATGATACCTGAGTAACCCAAACCTTTAAACCGAAGCCTGTTAGGCGCAGCTATGGAAGTCAAGCTAAAACCCAGTCATAAAGCACAAGTCACGCTCTCCTACGCAAGGCTCTGCATTTCGTCAAATAGGGGCTTGACATGTGGGATAGCAGGGGACCCACTTTATATCACCAACGAATACATGGCCTGATTTCTTCGCTCCATTGATGGTTTTAACTCTGATGCATTCAACAACACTCATCAAAT